GCAAACTGTCCCTCATCTGATTATTCAGTAATGCTTGTTAGTAATCTCATACATGAGCCCTGGATATCCACAGACAAATGTAAAAACCTTCCCTAAAACCCGAGACTGTAAATTCCAAAAAGGCAAGTCGCCCCCCAATCCAAAAAAAAAAGAGCTAAAGAGGATAGAGAGAAACACTATTAACTGATGATATATAGAGGGGATAATAATCAATGTAATGAAACAAGCTATATGAATGGTTGAATGTGAAGCTGATGTGCTCTGTAAACTTTCACTTAATCCAAAATAAAAACATTTAATTAAAAAAAAAAAAAAGAAAGAAAGAAAGAAATAATGGGCCCATCAACACAATGCTCATCTCCGTCCTATCCTGTTCCGAGAAACTGAAGGTTTAAAGAGAAAAAAGTATGTCCACATGCTGACATTCAACAGGGTTGTATTCTTTCACCCTCCAAATTCAACCTATATGTTGAGCAAAATATCTGATTAGCTGGATTATATGAAGAAGAGTGTGGCATCAGAATTGGAGAACAACTCGTTAACAGCCCGCGATATACAGATGATACAACTTTGCTTGTGAAGAGAACTTAAAATACACTGATGAAGATCAAAGACTGGAGTATGGATCACATCTCAATGTAAAGAAAACATAAACCCTCACAATCATACCAATAAATAACATCATGACAAATGCAGAAAAAAAGTGAAGTTGTCAAAGATTTCATTTTGCTTGTATTCACAATTAACACTCAAGCAAGCAGCAGTCTATAAATCAAACAACAAAGGAGGCAGCAACATGGTGGACTAAACAGAAAAGCTATAAGGACCCTCTACAACAAAGATATGGAAAAACAAATGGAACAGTTGTAGATAATAGTTCTGGAACCTTGGGCTTTACATGAAGGGATACAGAAGTAAACTTAATGCTTACTAAGCGATAAAGCTGATCAGATAAAGCCAAAAACAGAGACACACTGGTGATGACGTGGTGTAGCCACCTTAAGCGTTTGTGAATGGTTTGAAGACAAGAAACCATATTGGCTTTTCAGAAACTTATCATTGGCTCACAGAGGTAAAGGTATGATTTATTTTTCTTTTCCCCCAACACTCTACCAGGGAACAGAGGCAAGGCTGACCCTACCCACATACACCCTCAGGGAAGCTCCCACTCTCCTGGTGGTCAGAGCTGCACTGAGGTGAGCGCTGAAGTTTCGAGCCCCATTAAAGTCTCAAAGAACTATCTGTATTAACCCTGGAAGAGAAAAAGAAATGCATAAAAAAGATAATCAAAGAGTGATTGAAAGAAAAGTTTCCATAACATCATGAAAGACGAGAAGATTCAAGAAACTGAGGAAATCCCCAACAGGATAGATGCCAAAAGAAAATCATCAAGACATATCGCAATCAACCTCTCCAAAATTAGACAAGGAACAAATCCTGAAAACAACTCAGGAAAAACAAAAAGTTACCTACAAAGGAGAACCAATAAGATTAAGTTCTGATTAGCAAACCAGCATAAGAAACAAAGAAGGCAATTACCCCATGAATAAAGGGTCAACTGAACATGAAAACAGAACCATAATGAATATTTATGCTTCCAATGAAACAGCCTCAAAATATGGTGTATTTAATAATGTTAAAGAAAGAAATATTGTTGTTGTTGTTGTTGTCAGGTACCATCAAGTGGGAACTGACTCATAGCAACCCCATGCACAGCAGAACGAAACAATGTCCGATCCTGGGCCAACCTCACTACCGCTGCCACACTTGAGTCCATCAATGATGCCACCTGGCTGATCCATCTCGTTGGGGGTCTTCCTCTTTTTCTCTGACCCTCCATCTTACCCAGCATGACATCCTTCTTCAGCGACTGTTCCCTACTGACAATATGTCCAAAGTATGAGAGACGAAGCTTAGCCATCCAGGCCTCCCAGGAGCACTCTGGCTGTACTTCTTCCAAAACAGATCTATTGGTTCTTTTGGCAGCTTTTAGTATTCTCCTCCAACACCACAACTCAAAGGCATCAATTCTTCTACGATCTTCCTTATTCACTGTCCAGCTTTCGCATCCATATGAGGTTATTGAAAATACCATGGCTTGGGTCAGGCACACCTTAGTCCTCAAGCTGACATCTCTGCTCTTCAACACTTTAAAAAATTCCTGTGCAGCAGATTTGCCCAATGCAATACGTCGTCTCATCTCTTGATTACTGCTTCCACGAGTGTTGATAGTTGATCCAAGAAGAAAAAAATAGACAACTCTAAAATGATAGTAGGAATTAAAAAAAAAAAACAACAAAAAAAAAACACTTTTGATGAAGGAGAGAACAACTAGAAAAAAACTCAACAAAGCCACAGAGGACCTAAATAACACAATCAGTCAACTTGACCTCAAAGATTTATACAAAACATCCATCCCAACAACAACAAAATACACATTATTTTCTAATACACATGAATAGTCACCACAATACACCATATGTTAACCCACAAAGCAAGCCTCAATAGATTTAAAAATACTGAAATACTACAAAGTATCTTTTCAGAAGGTTTATTATATACTTGGTTATAAAATTAGAAATCAACAAAAGGAAGATCAAGAAAAAAGATTTAAAACTGGAAACTGAATAACAACCTGTCTACAAGTTACTGGGTAATAGAACAAATAAAAAATAAAATAAATTCCTTGAATCAATTGAGAGCAAAACACAGCATACCAAAACCTTTGGGGCATAGCAAAAACAGTGCCTAGAGGGCAAGTGTGTTGCCAAGTGCCACTGATCAGGTTCCAATTTATATCAATCCTAAGGAGCAGCTGGTAGGTTTGAACCACCAGCTTTGTGGTTAGCAGCTCAGTATTTATCCTATAGCGAAGTTTGTTCTTGTTGTTATAGTCAAATGCCATCTAATTGGTTCCAACTCATAGCAAGCCTGTATGGGGTATCTGAGAAGTAGCTGGTGCGTTTGAACTGCTGACTTTGTTGTTCAAATTGACCTTGCAATCCGACTTATTACTCCACAGCACCACACCAGGACATCTGTATCGAACTCAAAGGGTTTAACTTCCATTGATGAGAGGTAAGAAGATTGTAAAAAAAAAACTCGTAACAAACAAAATCACGGTACCACATCACCTCTACAAATGTGTGAGCCATTTCTTTGATAGAAACTTTTCTTTATATTCATATATAAATTCAACTGTTTTTGCTTCTCTAAAGAGCCCAGTCTAAGATACAGAACTTCTCAATTATCCCATTTTTAGTATAGGCAAATCTGCTGCACAAAACCTTTTTATAATGTTGAAGAGCAAAAGACCTTTTTATAATGTTGAAGAGCAAAGATGTCAGCTTGAGGACTAAGATGCGCCTGATCCAAGCTATGGTATTTTCAGTAACCTCATATGCATATGAAAGCTGGACAGTGAATTAAGGAAGACTGTTGAAAAATTGATGCTTTTGAGTTATGGTGTTGAAGGAGAATATTGAAAGTGCCATGGGATGCCAAAAGAACCAATAGATCCATTTTGGAAGAAGTGCAGCCAGAGTGCTCCTTGGAGACCAGGATGGCCAAACTTCGTCTCTCATACTTCAGACATATTGTCAGGACGGACCAATCTCTGGAGAAGGATATCATGTTTGGAGGGTCAGAGAAAAAAAAGGGAGACCCTCAGTGAGATGTATTGGCAAAGTGGTAGCATCAATAGGCTCAAGCGTGGCAATAATTGTGAAGTTGGCCCAGAACGAGGAAGTGTTTTGTTCTGTTGTGCATAGGGTCACTCTGAGCCGGTACCAACTTGATGTCACTTAACAACAACTACCTGGTGTGGTGCTGTAGGATCAGCACTGGACTACAAACCACAAAGTTGGCAGTTAAAACCCACCAGCTGCTCCTTGGAAACCCGATACCAGGTCGCTAGGAATCAGAACTGATTTGATGACAGCTAACAACAACATGTTTTAAAGCATACCACATGCTTTAGTAAACTACATGTTTTTGAACTGGTTTAAAGGAATGTGACTTTAAGTTATATCCTTCTCAGCCTGACATCAAACACTCATATTTTGTGTTAATCCCCGTGTGACGGTTAAGGTTTGGTGTCAACTTGGCTTGGCCAGAATTCTCAGTGATTTAGCAGCTAAGCTGTAGTTACCATCTGTGGTGACATCTAATACGATGCAATCAACTCCATGATATAATCTGATGTGATCAGCCCCGATCTCATCCAATTGTCCAATGTGTTGCACATCCTCACTTCTATGATATTAAAGAAGTCAGATGCAATCTACAGGATTACGTTCTATCTTGAGTCCATTGCTTTTGCGATATTAAAGGAGGCAGAAGTGAGTAGAACTCAGAGGGATCTGCTACCACCAAGACAGAAGAGCCAGGAGTGGAATGCATCATTTAGATGTGGGTTTCCTGCACTGTAAAGCTTCTACAATTCAGGGATGATTGATGCCAAGATGTATGGAGATCTCCAAGGAATGCTGAGCCTACAGATGCTGAAAGGAGACAAGGACCTTTCCTGAGAGCCAGCACGCTGAATTTGGACTTCCAGCTCCCTAAACTGTGAGCCAATACATTTCTGCTTGTTGAAACCAACCACTTGTGGTACTTCTGTTATAGTAACATTAGAAAACTAAGATATTTGGCAACAATAAGGAAAGAAATCACTTTGAAGAGTGAAATATTTTCATACTATATTAGGAGGGCACTTAACAACAACAACAACATATTAGGAGGGAGAACATGATAATGGTTATTCTTTTAGGTATTACAATTTGAAGTTAAATAATTTTCATTTATAGTCACTTTATCCTAGAATCGAAAATAAATTTTTACCTTACAGAATGAACAGAATTATTTTAGGGTTCTATCTTGCTTACAAGAAAAAAGAAAACATGCCAGAGAACTTAACAATTTTAAAGGTCACTGAGCAAATAACATTTTATCTAATATTAGGTGCCTTCAAAAATTCATGGAAAAATGGAATTAAAAGATAATCTGGTTTCTCCATGAACTTTTTGATGCTTTCCAAGTATTTCCCTTTACAAATGTAATACTTTATTCTTCTTTCTACTGAAGTCACTAGACTGGAAAGGATTCCTTTGGCCCAGAAACCTCAGATCTTTTCAATACTATGTTATTGTTTCTATGCCATAATCCTAAAAGTCCCATTTAATAATGTGTTTTATAATCAGATTACCACGGTTTTAGGGTCGAAGATGACGGCATAGACTAAAACAGCAAAACGTGGTTACAGAAAGGTCATAAGTGTAAGAACAATACTTAGTTATTACAGAAAGCTAGTTTTAACTTCTGAAAGGAATTACTCTACTAACCCTGAAACAGCTGAAGGAACCGAGGACGTAATGCTGAGGGGATCACTCTCTCTGGCAGCTCCCGTAGGAAGAGTTTCAACAGGCTGGCTGCTGAGCAGACATCACCGTCTTTCCCAAGATCTACAGGCATGCCGCTCTCATACTTCAGCCGAAGTTGTTCCACCACCTTCACGCTACCATTCACCCGAAAAAGGCCTTCCCGGGTGAGACCTGGAAAAGTGCAATAGGCCAAACAGACATCGATCACAAACAGGTACAACATTTAAAGAACAGCAACAGAAACAAATCCCACTGCTGGATTCTCTACTATAATTATAAAGCAGTAGAAGATTTTCACATTTTATAGAAATATTTCTTAAAGCAATACATTTCCTTATCTACTACAAATTGGGAGTCCTGGTGCAGATAAACACTGGACTCTAACCACAAGGTGGACAGTTCAGACCCACCAGCTGCTCCTTGGAAACCCTATACAGAGTAGCTGTAAGTCAGAATCTACTCAGTGACAATCACAACAACAACGACAAATCATCTAGAGAAGATTGTCATAAAATTTAATCTCTACATAAAAAGCTATGACATGTATAAATTTAGAACAATATATGTACATAATACCATGCAAAGAAATTTCATTAATATAGATATATAGGGAATCCTAGGATAGCACTGTAGAATAAGCCCTGGACGGTTAACTACAAGGCTGGAATCTCAAACCCACCATTTGCTCTTCAGAAGCCCCACACAGGAGTGCTATGAGTCAGAACTGACTCTATGGCACTAAACAGCAAGGGCAGACAGAACTGTACATTTGTTTCCAGCTACCAGCTTAGCACTTCATAACAATTATTTTTTAAATGATAGGTAAATAAGAAACTTCTTAACTAGATGCAATTATTTTCTAACAATTTGATTAATAAGTGATATTTCTTTGTTGTTGTTGTTGTTAAGTGCCGCAAATCAGTTATGACTCAAAGCGACTCCGTATAGGGGTTCCAAGGAGCAGCTGGTGAGCTTGAACTGCCGACCTTGTGTTTCAAACCGACCTTGAATTCCTGAATTAACCCACAGCACCACACCAGGATATTTCCATAGATGTCATGAAATTTAATGAGGAAAACTCTACAAGAATATAAAATGATTCAAAATGACATTCTTTTCTTCAGTCGGTTTCTGAGGGATTCAGTGTAAGCTGAGGTTGACATTTCATGGGGAGGGTGAACCTTAATCTTTGAATAAGTGGCAGGAAAGATAGCATGGCTAAGGCTAATATACTATGAAGCTCATGAAGTTTAAGCTTCAAAGACCCTCATTTGTTTGGGCCCTTTCAAAGGCTCTATCTCTAATTCTGTATTCTTTCTTTAAAAAGGAAGTCCCAAGAGATTAAACTTCCAGAATCAAAAAACCATGAAATACTAAAAAACAAGGAACAAAAACATAAACTGATAGGTAGACACAGGATAGCATTAAAAAATTAAGCACTTTAACATGTGGAGTATTTAGGTCCAAGAACAATGAGGTAATAAAATTAGAAGAAACTGAATAGAATCATGAATGTTAAGTTGCAGACTGGAGGCTTTTAATGGGGGCATTCAGTGGAAGAAAATAAAATGTAATTGGATTTTGTATGCTATAGTGCCAGAAGATGAGCCCCTTAGGTTGAAAGGCACTCAAAATATGACAGGGAAGACCTGCCTCCACAAACTAGAGTTGGCTGTGATGACACAAAAGGAGTAAAGCCTTCAGGACATTCATTTAAGGGAAACTCATAATGAAAACAAACAACTGTAAGCATACATTAACAATCAGAACATGGAATGTATGAGGTATGAATCTAAAAATATTAGAAAATGTCAACAATGAAATGGAATGCATAAACATCAATATCCTAGGCATTTGTGAGCTGAAATGGACTGGTATTGGCCACTTTGAATCTGAAAATCACATAGTTTATTATGACAGGAATGACAAATTGAAGAGGAATGGCATCACATTCATCATCAAAAAGAACTTATTAACATGTCTTGCAGTACAACACTGTGATCAGATAATATCCATACAACGACAAGGAACACCATTTAATACCACTATTATTCAAATTTATGCAATAACCACTAAAGACAGTGAGGATGAAATTGAAGAATCTTATCAACTTCTTCAGTCTAAAATTGATCAAACATGCAATTAAGATGTATTGATAATTACTGGTGATTAGAATGCGAAGTTTGGAAACAAAAAGGAAGGATCAGTTGTTGGAAAATATGGCCTTGATGATAGAAACGATGCTGGAGATCTCATGACAGAATTTTGCAAGACCAATGACTTTTTCATTGCAAATATCTTTTCAAAACAAGATAAAAGATGACTATACACATGGACCTCACCAAATGAAATTCACAGAAACCAAATTGACTACATCTGTGGAAAGAGACGGTAGAAAAGCTCCATTTTATCAGCCAAAACAAGGATAGGGGCAGACTTTTGAAGAGACCATCAATTGCTCATATGCAACTGAGCTGAAGATGAAGAAAATTAAAACAAGTCCACAGGGATAAAATAAGACTATGAACATATCCCACCTGAATTTAGAAATCATCTGAAGAGCAGATTTAATGCATTAGACACTAAAAACTGAAGAAAAGAAGAGTTGTGGGATGACATCAAGACCATCATACAGGAAATAAGCACAAGGTCATTAAGACAAGAAAGAAGGAAAAGACCAAAATAGATATCAGGAAAGACTCTGAAACTTGCTCTGCAGTTTAGAGATGCTAAAGCAACTAGAAGAATTGAGGGAGGTAAAAGTAGAACAAAAATAGTAAAAATGGAATAGAAAAAAATTTTTTTTTGTATTTCTACAGAATAGAAAATTTCAGAGTAGCTAGGGAAGACAAAGTTAACTATTATAAAAAAATCTGCAAAGACCTGAAGTTAGAAAACCAAAAGGGAAGAACATGCTCAGCATTTATTAAGATGAAAGAGATGAAAAAAAAATTGAAGTCTTGACTTGAAATATTGAAGGATTCTATGAGCAAAATTGCTAATCTCAAGGTCAGTAGTTTGAAGCTACCAGAAATTCAACAGGAGAAAGGTGAGGCGTTCTGTTCCTACAAAGATTTACAACCTTGGAAGTTCTATTCCACCACCACCACCATGAACAAAACACTGAATGCTGTAAGGAAAATAAAAATCTGATGGAAGGAATTCCTAGACACTATACAAAAAAGAAATGGTTGATGTTCAACCATTTCAAGAGGTAGCATATGATCAAGAGCCAATGATACTGAAGGAAGAAGTCCAAGCTGCACTGAAAGCAAAGAACAGATTGTGGGAATTGGTGGAATACAAACTAAAATCTTTCAAAAAACTGATGAAGCACTGGAGGTACTCATTTATCTACGCCAAGAAATATGGAAGACAACTACCTGTCCAACTGACTGGAAGAGATCCTTATATTTACCCATTTCAAAGAGAGGTGATCCAATGCAATGCAGAAATCATTGGATAGTATCATTAATATCTCATATAAGCAAAACTTTGTTAAAGATAATCCAAAAACGGCTGCAAATATACATTGACAGAACTGCCAAACATTCAAAATGGATTCAGACAAGGATGTAGAATGCGAGATATCATATCTGATGTCAGATGGATCTTGACGGAAAGCAGAGAACACCAGAAATACGTTTACCTGTGGTTTATTGACTCTACAAAGGCTTTCTTTCTTTCTTTTTTTTTTTTTTTTTTTAAGTTTTTATTGTGAATTGAGTGAAAGTTTACAGGGCAGATCATCAATGTTACATTCAACAAATCATATACTTTGTTTCATAACAATGATTATAATCACCTCCATGTACCATCAGTTAACAGTATTTCTCTCTATTCATTTTAGCTCTTTTTTTTTTTTTTAAGCACTCAGTCTGCAAAGGCTTTCAATTGTGTGGATGATGACAAGCTATGGGCAACATTACAAAGAATGAGTATTCAGAACACTTAATTGTGCTCAGGAATCCATACATAGACCAAGAGGCAGTTCAAACAGAACAAAGGAACTTTGAATTGTTTAAAATTAGCAAAGATGTACAACAGGGTCATGCTCTTTCATGATATTTATTCAAACTGTATGCTGAGCACATAATATGAGAAGCTGGATTAAATAAAGAAAAACATGGCATCAGGATTGGAGGACAACTCATAAAAAATCTGAGCTATACTAAAGATACAGCCTTGCCTGCTGAAAGCAAAGAGGACTTACTGACTGAAGATCAAAGACCACAGCCTTCAGTATGGGTTGTACTTTAATATAAAGAAAATAAAAATCCTCAGCAATGGACCAATAAACAACATCCATATAATTGGAGAAATGATTGAAGCTGTCAAAGACTTCATTTTTCTTAGATCAACCATCAACATTCATGGAAGCAGCAGTCAGGAAATTAAACGATATATTGTATTAGCCAAATCTGTGCTACAAGACCTCTTAAAGTGTTCAAGAGCAAAAATGTCAGTTTGAGGACTAAGATGCACCTTAGTCATATGCATGTGAATTGGACAGTGCATAAAGAAGATCACAGAAGAACTGACACATTTGAGTTATGTTGTTGGAGCAGAATATTAAAAGTACCATGGAGTGCCAAAAGAACAAACCAATCTATGTTAGAAGAAGTATAGCTGGAATCTTTCATACTTCAGACATACTGACAGAAGGGACCAGTCCCTTCAGAAGGACATCATGTTTGATAAAGTGGAGGGGCGGAAGATAGAGGATGACTCCCAACAAGATGGACTGGCACAGTGGCAGCAGCAATGGGCTCAAATGTAGCAATGATTGTGAGAATGGTGCAGGACCAGGCAGTATTTCATTCTGTTGTGCATAGGGTTACTATGAATCGATACCTACTCAATGGCACCTAACAATAACAATCGGATTTCAGGAATATTTAGCTAGCTAAATAGAGAACAGAGGGGATACAGAGCTTGCCTTAGGGAGACTACACTTTACTGTAAGGCAGTCAGGCAGATTATGGTGAAAAAGGAAATAGACTAGAGTATAAAAGTACCACTGACTACTAGACGAACAAACAAATCTCTGTTGGAAGAAGTATAGCCAACATGCTCCTTAGAATCAAGAATGACATGACTTTGTCTCTCATACTTCAGACATACTATCAGGATAGACCAGAACTGGAGAAAGACATGATGCTAGGCAAAGT